CACAGAGGGTCTGTCTACACTTGCAGCCTCATTCGAACTAAGGCTGCAAATGTAGGCATTCAGAATTGCAAATCAAGCCCGGGATTTAAATATCCTGCGCTTGATTTGCATGTTCCCGGCTGGTTGCCATTTTTTTTTTTGAAACTTACAAGCCCGAACTAACTGCCCGCATCTACACGCGGCAGGGAAACGGGCGTTCGAAATAAAGCCTTATTCCGAACTACCCGTTATTCCTCCTGCAATGAGGTTTAACAGATAGTTCGGAATAAGGCTTTATTTCGAACACCCATTTCCCTGCCACGTGTAGACACAGGCAGTTAGTTCAGGCTTGTAAGTTTCAAAACAAAACAAAAAAAATGGCCCCATTTTATGTAGAAAACCAAATTTAAAATGAAATTTGATAAACTAACATAAGAAAGATGTTAGTTTAAAACACTTAATCTGTATCATAATTTAAATTAAACCACTCTCCCTAGCTGCAGCTGGTTCAGAAAATAAACTTACTATACGGAGCCTCCCATGCCTCCCGTCCCCCCACCTTTTGCCAGCAGACAGATCTGTGAATAAGTTAAATCTTGATACGCCACTTCTGAAAGGTTGCTGACCCCTGCACTAAAAGGTAAGATCTGCATCTTTATTTATTAATGAAGCTGCTGTAAGTTGGACTATTATTGACTTTAAAAAGTATCACCGGCACTCGGACCCGTACATAGAGGTGAATAAGTCAAATCTCAGCACTCCACCTCTGAAAGGTTGCAGATCCGTGTTTCAGACTGAGCATTGAGTCCCATTAGATAGATAGAAAGATTAACCTAAATAATCTATACAGAAGCCTCTGGAACCCCATAAGATTGGGTCACTAACAATGTTCCCTCTAAGTCAGTTAGCTCCATTTATGGAGCCCTAAGCCCCTGACTGGATGGGGCTGATAAATCACCTGTGAAGCTGTGCTGCCACACGTTTTAGAGGAAACATTGGTCCCTAATCCATGAACTGTTGGAACTAATTAACAAAACTTTCCTTAAACATTACATGAATACATTGTCTCATACTATAGAATTAGCATGTATAATCCCAATTCCATCATGAGATATCTTTGAGCTATAACGTATCTTACCTCAAAAAGCATTTTATCAAAATATCTGATTTAAATAAAAAGATCCGATTTTTTTAAATAAAAAAAAAAATTGATTTTTATCCACTGTGGGCACAAGCCAAGGTTCATTGCTGTGTAGATATATCCGTTGACTTTAGTGGAATTTAAAAACATGCTTAGAGATTAAGAATACTGATTATTGGAGCCCTGCAAATCTACAGATATCCACAGGTATCCACATCTGTGGATATGGATAGTCACAACTCATTTTTCCATGTTTTGTATCTAGAAACTTGCAAATCTGCAGATATTCACTTTATATCTGTGATTATTTGCATCCATAGATGTAGACATCTTTGGCTCATTTTTGCAGTTACTGATTATCCCCCAGGGTGGACATCTGCAAATCTGGGATCTGGTCTACTCTAAAATATAGATGAAAGATCCACACCCCTGAGTGACAGGTTTAAACTGACCTAAACCCCAGTGTAATCAGTACCAGGACAATGGAAGAATTCTGTCAACCTAGTTACTGCATATTGCTTATTTCCCTCTTTTGCTTGGTATTGTTCATATTAGTGGAGGCAGAGAAGGGCAGGTTCTTGTTGTTCTATAAATATCCAATCCCAAAGTCTTTGCAGGAGAAAGCATGATTGAGAGTGAAAAAGGTGATGTTGAGCTACAGAGGCCTTTGTCCTGCTCTGAACACAGCTGTTATGGTTGCTTCTATTCCACATGATTTATTCCTCCTCTGGAGAACAACGGTTCAAAGCCCAGAGTTATTGTCTCTAATGTTTTACTTGGCTGCACTCAGGTTTTGGTGATGTATTGTGTAATATTTTTTGCGTGAAAGTGTCACTACAAAGTAAGATAATTGCTTTTAATGTGGATGATGAGAATGTTTTCCAAATGCTATTTGCATACATTTTCTAGAACATAAAATGTGTAACTCCATCCAAGGCTGCGTGCTCAGGCAGACTGAGTTTGTTTGAAAAGATTAGTCGCCTTCACAGTATCCATCTGAAAAATTAAGAACTAGAAATTTCCTAGCATGAAACATCACTAAAGACAGACCCATTTAGTTTAGATGTAGGGTTACATATAACAAATAAAATAATAATACTCAGACTACAAAGCCATAAACAATATATATGATATTGTAACAAACCATGAGCTACTAGGGCTTCATAGCGCTCACTCTGCTATGCAGTAAGGACATTCCAAATTTAGAGCAATGGGAATAGAACCCAAGTTCTCTTATTTCAAAAGCACAGGCTTCATCCACTTGAGTCAGAGAAACTTTATTAGCTAGTATATCAATATAGGGCCTGTGACACACAGATGAACAGTTCTGATTCCTTCCAGCAGAGAGAGAGACAGAGAGGCACCTCTCCCAGAGCCCTACTGGCTCACACTCCAGTTCATTGCAATATTTATAGATCCCATCTTTCTTCATGTTTATTGTTGAATATACTCCCCATGTTTATTATTTTGCAGATTTTATTACAAAGATTTTGGTCCTGTGCTTGTCTGATCCATGCAAATAACTCCTTTTCCTTTAATAGAACTTTTATATTTGGCTCAAGGCTAGTGTAACCTTCAGTTGTCTTGGATATTTACGTAGCACCAGCCACTATTTTCTGACTTAATACAACTTTCCACTGAAACACTAAGAACTCCCGGCTAAACTGCTAAGTTTTACAAAACAGAAAACCTAACACTTAGAAGCATCAGGTATTGACCGAGATAGGCATCTGAATCATATGAACGTATTGTATGGTCTAAATGGTAATGATAATGATCTTACATTTATATAACTTTCTGTGCAAGGAACATAAGACACTTTAGAACTGATCTGCTACTGAAAAGCAGTCAGCTCATCTGGAACTTGCCAGATGCACAGCACTTCCTGTGAGAGGTTAAGCACCCTCAATTCCAAATGAAGCCAATCTGGGTTGTGGATATTCAGCCCATCTATTCACCTACCCATCCTATGCATTATGTTGCTCTTGTCACCACTGTATTTGACACCTTGTACTCAGAAGAACACACAGCAATGGGAGAGGATATGTGTAATATCATTGCCAATAGAAGTTCATTGGGAATTTTAGGGAGGCAGAGTGTGATCATCTATGTTGGCATTTGATACCATAACTAGGGCTGTCAAGCGATTAAAAAAAATAATCACAATTAATCATGCTGTTAAACAATAATAAGACTCCAGCTGACCTGGGCTCCATGTTGTGCTGCCCCTTGAAATGCTGCTGCAGTATTTCAAAGGAGCAGTGCAATGGGAGCCTGGGATCAGCTGTGCGGTGCTGCCCCCTTTGAAACGCCACCGCAACATTTTAAAGGGGCAGAGCAATGTGGAGCCTGGGGTAAGCTGGAGTCTACAGTTGACCCAAGCTCCGTGCAGCACTTTCGCCATGGTGTTTCAAAAGGGCAACATCGTGGGAACCTGTGATTAACTGGAGTCCCCAGCTGACCCCAAGCTCAATGCAGCACTTCCCCTTTGAAACGTCACCACTGCATTTCAAAGGGGCAGTGCCGTGGGAGCCCAGGATCAGCTGGAATCCCCAGCTGATCCCAGGCTCTGCTCTCGTTGCCCCTTTGAAACACAGCAATGGCGTTTCAAAGGGGCAGTGCTGCATGGAGCCCGGGATGAGCTGGAGTCCCCAGCTGACCCCGGCTCCATGCAGCACTGCCCCTTTGAAATGTCGCCCGAGATGTGAGGGTGCAGAAGCAAGAGAGGGTGTCAGAGCAAGCTGTGAGTGTGGGATCTTGGGAGTGTGAGGGGATTGAGCGAGAGGGATTGGCGTGCTCGGATCTGAGCATAAGAGGGGGCACTTACCTGGCTTCATACCCCTTTTCAACATGAAAAGTTTCTGGACAGAGCGCTGCCATTCCTCCAGTGTGGTGGGGAGGGAGAAGGAGCTCAATCACCCCCTACCCCCCCCACACACACAGTGGGGCACCCATGCACCAATTCTGGCTTCCTGCTTGGAAGTGGGGGGAGAGGGAGAAAGTTCTGACCCCGCCAGAGCAGCTCACAGAGAGTGAGTGACTCTATGTGCTGCTGTTCCTTCAGCGGAGTGGGGAGAGGTGGGGGGAGAGAGAGCAGCAGTGCACTGAGCTCACCTGTTGAGCCTGAGTGCACCCCCGAGGGGTGATAGCAGCCCCTGCCAGGGCAGAGGCAGCAGCTCAAAAACACCAAGGTCTGGGAGTGGCTCCTTGGCACCTTTTGCCATGGAGTTGGCTGGTGCCCCCGGCAGCAGCGGTGGCAACCACTTTAACAAAGGAGGAGGTAGTGTGGCCAGACCAGGTCCCTCACAACAGGAGCAGTCCCATGAGGGGAGGGAGAGGGCTGCGTGGCACATGGTGGTGGTGCAGTGGAGAGTGGGGGCTCGCCGGGTGATGCGCTGGAATGCGGGGAACTTAGGAAGCCACCCCAGTTTCCTGAAGGCAAAGCGCTGAGGCAGGGAGCCGCCTACGTGCTCTGCAGTGGTTGGGAGGAGAGGTGAGGAAGAGTGTATCTACTGCGCTGTGCTAGGGGGTGAGTCTCTGCAAGCTCTGCCAGCTGGGGGAAAGGAAATAAATGGTGATTCAGCAAGCCATTTGCAGCTTGCTGCTTCTCCAACAGGGCTTTTTGGGAAATTTTGCTATTTGATGGGGACACCAGGACAGAGCATTTAATTCAGGGCTGTCCTGGATTTTCTGGGATGTATGGTTGGCATAGCCATACATGACAGGTTAGTGTGTGGCCTGCATAGTGAAGCTATATGGACGCGTCTATTAACAGAAGCCCAGTTCATCCCCCAGAAGGCTGTTGATATTGCGGTCTCCATGGAACTGGCCACATGGGAGGTGTAACCCCTAGGATGCATAAAGTGTCCCAAGAACTTACCCATCAAATAGTGGGGAGCCAGGCATGTTACTGCAGTGGTAAGCCAGATCATCATGCATCAGAATGCTGGTGTAAGGACCTATTGTGTCAACAGTGTGGAAAAAAAGGACACATTGAGCATGCCTGCAAACAAAAAAGAGAAAAGGCCTGTGGTGGTGTGAACCAAAAAGGAAAATCTGCATCCCATCGAGCAGACTCATGATGATCAAGGTGACACCTATCTGAAAAAGACGGTGCCCTGCTATGGTTTGTCTTGGCAGGGGGCTCCCATGAGTAACCCCACTGTTAGATGGCAAACCTGTACACATGGAAGTAGACACCGGTGCAGCAGTTTTGTTGGTCTTTTTATACTGTGTATAAGGAAAATCTATAGCATCTTTCACTTACGGCAACAAAGATTGTTCTGAAGACATATATGGGAGAAGCGATACCTCTGTTGGGCACTATTGATATTAAGATGGAGCTCAATGGACAGACTGTTGAATTGCCACTGTTTGTGGTGAAAGGCTATTACCTAGCCTGAATGGGCAGATCGTGGTTTAGGAAGATCCAGCTAAACTGGGCAAAAGTGCACCAGATGACTAAAGAAGAAACAGGTCTGAATGATATATTAAAGAAACATGTTGCTGTTTTTGGAAAGGATCTGGGAAGTATGAGGGGAATCACCGTGAAACTGAACATTAAACCTGGCAGCCAACCAAAATATCTGAAGGCCAAAACTGTGCCATATACCATCAGGCCAAAAGTTGAAGCGGACCTGGAGCACCTAGTCAAAAATGGAGTCCTAATACCAGTTGCCTGTAGCCCATGGGCAACTTCAATTGTTCCAATATTGAAGAAAGATGGTTCCATTCAGATTTGCAAAGATTTTAAGGTCACTGTTAACCCAGTGTTGTATGCAGACCAATACACTCTTCCCCGCATGAATGACCTCTTTGTGGGCCTGGCTGGGGGACAAAAGTTCAGCAAGATTGATCTGAGTCAAGCATATTTACAGATGCACATTGATGATAAGTCCCAAGAGCTGTTGACTATTGATAAAGGCCTTTATCATTACTGTCACTTACCCTTGGGAATAACTTCTGCCCCAGCTTTGTCCCAGAGGGATATGGACCAGATCTTTTGTGGCTTGCCAGGAGTCCAGTGCTATCTTGATGACGTCCCAGTCACGGATAGAAATGAGAATCACCTTAAGAACTTAGAGGCTATCCTACAAAGACTGGAAGAGTATGGCCTACGAGTCCACAAAGACAAGTGTTCATTCTTTCAGCCCTCTATTGAATATTTGGGAGACATCGTTGATGCTACCAGCCTTCGTAAGCCCCTTCAAAAGTTAAGGCTATTGTGGAGGCTCTACCCATCAAAATGTTAGTCAACTTCACTCATTTCTAGGACTACTGAACTATTACTGAAAGTTTATTTCACAGTTAGCCACACTGTTAAAACCACTTCATGAGCTCCTTGGCCAGAACAAGACCTGGAAGTGGACTGAAGCCTGTGATGTTACATTTAACAAGGCTGAATGTGATTTGCTAAACTCGGAGGTCCTGACACATTTTGATCCATCCTTACCTTTACAGTTGGCCTGTGATGCCTCCCCATATGGAGTGGGAGCAGTCTTATCACACGTTATACCTTCGGGAAAAGAGAAACCAATTGCTTTTGTTTCATGCACCTTAAGCAAGGCAGAAACGAACTATGAGCAAATCAAGCATGAAGCACTGGGAATCATTTTCGGGCTTCGGAAATTTCACCAGTACCTGTTTGGACAGTAGTTTACACTTCTCATTGACCATCAACCTCTGTTGGCAATTTTTGGTCCACACATAGGCATTCCATCATTGGCTGTTAGTCGTAAGCAACAACAGGCATTGTGGCTTTCGGGACACACATATGAGATCAGATATTGGAAATCCACTATGCATGGAAATTTAGATGGTCTTTCTAGGCTGCCTTTGCCAGTCAAATATCAAGATAGTGTCCAGAAGGAAATCGTCTACTTTGAACAGGTAGAGAACACACCCATCACTGCTCTGCAAGTTAAGAGAGCATTTCATGTTGACCCAGTACTATCCCAAGTTATGGACCTAGTGTTGCATGGAACATCTCTACGGGACTCTCAGGTCTCACCCAACCTTGTTCCCTACAAGTCCAGGAGGACAGGGTTATTGATCCATTCTGGGTGTTTGTTGTGGAGAATGCGTGTCATTATTCCAAAGATACTGAGACAACACGTTAGAACAGCTACATTCAGGTCACTGTGGAATGGTGCACATGAAAGAAATTGCACGAAGCTATTTTTGGTGGCCTGGCTTGGACGATGCCATTGAAGAGAAGGCAAGAGCTTGTATTTCATGCCAGGGTGTGAGGAATGCCCCTCACTTGGCACCTCTACACCCATGGGACTGGTCTGAAAAACTGTGGCAACTTATTCACATTGATTTTGCTGGCCCATTTGAAGGTAGCATGATCTTGGTGGTGGTAGATGCCCATTCCAAATCGCCAGAACTCTCTATAAATGCTGCCCACTACTGCTGAGAGTACTATCCAAAAACTACAGGGAATTTTTTGTCATTTTGGTCTTCTAGAACAACTTATGAGTGACAACTGTCTGCAATTTGTTTTTCAAGAGTTTGGAAATTTTATGAAAGCAAATGGAACTCATCATATCACTTCAGCACCATATCACCCATCCACCAGTGAACTGGCTGAAAGGTTTGTGCAGACAATGAAACAAGCTTGGAAATTGGCTAGAGGACACTCACTCATGCAAAAGCATCTGGACACCTTCTTACTATCCTATGGAAATACACCTCATGCTACAACCAAAATTTTCCCAGCTTTTCTAATGATGGGACATCAGCTTTGCACTTGCTTTGATCTGCTGAAACCTTCTGAACCACGACAAATTATACAACATCAACAGCAAGGTCAAGTCATCAGGCGTGCATCCAGAGCAAAAGACCAAACCTTTAGTCCTGGAGAGCCGGTTTTGGTTTGGAACTATGCTTCTGGAGCTAAATGGGTCCCTGCCACTGTCATCGCTCAAACAGAACCTGTTTCCTATACTGTCCAGACTGCAGAGGATCTCATCTGGTGGCAGCATGTAGGTCAGTTATTGCTAGGTTATGCCTGCCCCCAAGAAACATCTCCAGTTGAGTTGCCTTACCTTGCCACTGCTGGTGAGCTACTGCACCTGTTCAAGAATTACCTGTTCCTGACTCTCCTCCTTCCTCATTGCCTACAGTGAACATAAACCCCTTCCTTGAGCAGGCTGATTCGACAGCCTCACCTGTTCACACTTCAAGTTCCCAGCCCACTTTCAGGCCCGCATCCATAACAACTTTGGGTGCAAGAACACCAGACGTCCGCTATAATCCACCTAGAGAAAGGAGGGCTCCTCAATGGCTGGATCTTTAATTAAGGTTAAACCACAATTATGGGGTAAAATAATCCCCAGGGTTAGCTGGGAACTTGAGGCACTCTACCCTCATTCCCTCGTTTTGTGTTTGTTTTATTAAAGGGATGTTCTTATTAAGTGGGGGAGGAATATTTTGTGTATTGGGTTGTTGTAGATATAGATCTTGTTGTTGTTGATATTATAGTAACTGAATTAGGTTACTAGGGGTCAGCCCAGCCAGTTTGGATTGGTTCTAGTTAGTTCTGTGTTATGGAATAAATGGACACTTGCAATTGCTCAAGCTCTCTGGCTACGTCTACACTGTCATGATTTTCCGGAAATGCTTTTAACGGAAAAGTTTTCCGTTAAAAGCATTTTCGGAAAAGCACATCTAGATTGGCAGGACGCTTTTCCGGAAAAGCACTTTTTGCGGACAAGCGTCCGTGGCCAATCTAGACGCGCTTTTCCGCAAAAAAGCCCCGATCGTCATTTTTGCGATCGGGGCTTTTTTGCGGAAAACACTACTGTGCTGTCTACACTGGCTCTTTTCCGGAACAGTTTTCTGGAAAAAGACTTTTGCCCGAACGGGAGCAGCATAGTTTTTCCGGAAAAGCACTGATGATTTTACATTAGATCGTCAGTGCTTTTCCGGAAATTCAAGTGTCCAGTGTAGACAGCTGGCAAGTTTTTCCGGAAAAACGGCTGATTTTCCGGAATAACTTGCCAGTGTAGACACAGCCTCTGTGTTTCCAGTGATTTCTTTCTAAATTGTGAAACTCCAGACAATATAACATTAGTAAGGACACCTGGAAAAGAACAAAACAAATTCAAATTAAATACATTATATGCACCCATTGTTAAAAGTTATGGTGACTAACCATGGGTACAAACTACCAAGGGAAGTGGTAGATTCTCCATCTCTTGATGGCTTCAGATCAAGACCATATGCCTTTTTGGAAGAGACACTTTAACCAATCACAAATTATACTTTAGTCACATTCCAGGTATTGGGCTCAATAACAAGATAACTAGAGGAGAGTTAATGTGACATATAGGAGGTTACATTAAATGATATAGTTACTATACATTCAGGTATTCCCAGATATCTATTTTTTGTCCTCCTCGCTCGGTCTGAGCAGGTCCATAAAAGGCTATTAGCCAGGGGATAGAAATGGTGTACCTGGCCTCTGTTTGTCAGAGGCTGGAGATGGATGGCACGAGACAAATAGCTTGATCATTGTCTTTGGTCCACCCCCTCTGGGGCACCTGGTGCTGGCCACTGTCAGCAGACAGGCTACTGGGCTAGATGGACCTTTGGTCTGACACAGTACGGTCATTCTTATGTTCTTATTGTTGAGATAAGAGGAAATGTCTGGGATTTTTCTGTTCCAGACATTACAGCTCAGAATCACCTCTGCTTCCTGACTGGACCCTTCCATGCACCCCAGAGCTGCTGAACTCTACGGGTACGTTTAGACTACATGCCTCTGCTGACAGAGGCATGTAAAATAGGCTACCCGACATAGACAATGAAGTGGGGATTTAAATATTCCCGGCTTCATTACAATAAAAATGGCCACCGTGCTGCGCCGGCTCAGCTGATAGTCGGCACAGTGCGCGAGTCAAGACATGGATTGGTTGACAAGGGAAGCTTTTGTTGACCGCTCCTGTAAACCTCATTTCACGAGGCATAAGGGAGCGGTCGACAAAGGCTTCCCTTGTTGACTGATCCGTGTCTTGACTCGCGCGCTGTGCTGACGACCAGCTGAGCCGGCGCAGCGCGTCAGCCATTGTTATTTTAATGAAGCCGGGCATATTTAAATCCCCACTTCATTGTCTATGTCGGGTAGCCTATTTTACATGCCTCTGTCGGCAGAAGCATGTAGTCTGGACATACCCCACCTGTGCTGACCCCACCTGGCCTTCCAGATAAGAGGAGTCATCAAGCACCTCTTGATTGTCTGCCCTGCCATAGGACCTCAGAATCTGGCCTGGAGGAGGGGTAATGGGTCCAGGATAACAGGGCCAGGACCTGGCTTCCTGCCCTGGGGAAGAGGAGAAGCCCACAGGGAACACTGACTGACTGGCTGATACTGCATCCTGGGACTGCACCAGCCAACCTACCACTGTGACAGGGTGTGTGATACTGCCCCCCACCTCAAGTGTGAGGCCACAGGTATGCCATCTAGCATCCCCTAAATGTTTCCTGCCAGTATATATATCCCTCCAACACCCCCCAAATGCCTCCTACTAGTATGAATACCCCTCCAGCACCCCATATGCCCCCTCTTAGTACAGGCACCCCTCCAGCACTCCTAAATGCCCCCCATCCACATACATCCCACCACACACAAATACCTCCTCCAACATCCCTAAATACTCCCTTACAATACTCAAACATCCCTCCAGTACCCTCCAAATACCCTATGAGTATGCACACCCCTCCAGTACCTCCCAAATGCCCCCTCCATGACTCCTCATACTCTCTTCTAGTACACACATCTCTCCATTATCCCCTACTGTACCTCCTCCCAGGACATGCACACTCCAACTGCTTCTACCGTACCTCCCCTCCAACTTCCCCTCCCTCTACCAGTATCCTCTACTGAAATATGATAGCCCTAATACACTGGTCCCTTCTGGTCTTAACATCGATGAATGGTCACCAGCCTCCTAAGGTCATGGTGAACCATTGGTTCTGTAACAATTCACAAGGAAGAGCACTGGTCTGCAGTTCTGAGGTGCATGGATTTTTGTGTTCTTACGTATCACTAGTTTGTTCTTTATAACGGCTAAACGTTGCTAAAAGCTAAAGTTCACTAAATATAGTGCCTTATTACAATGCAAACTAGATTTTGCTTTTCAATGTGCAATTACAGGAATAAACTCAGAATGTTACTTTTATAGTACATAATCTGTGCTTAAACTATCAGGTTTGCAAGGACATTTTAAGCTAACCAAACACATTTCATTCTATGTTTGTTGACACTGCAGATTTCTTAGATTTGCAGTAACTTAAAGTCAGTAGTGATCCCTTGAAAGAGAGGGGAAAGAAACTTTTAACACCAGACCAAATCCTGACACTCTGGCTAAGATTTTACTCAGTTCTTCCTTTGGCAAACTCCCATTGAAGTAATTGGAAAGCTTCCCGAATAAAGACCAAAGGTCTGATTTTGCAATCACTTACATTAGCTTCACATAGGCAGAATTCCTCCGACTCCTAGCTAGTTACAGC